CTTTTTTTTTTTTTTTTTGAGGTTTGTTAAGCCCGTTTATGTTTGGAGATATAAAAATAGCAAAAAAAGTGATAACAACAACAATAGACCACAACAACAAAATATCTCCTTTTTTTTTCCCAGTTTTTTTTTTTTTACCTATCTGGAAAAAGAACAAAAGAATTTTGTGTTATTCTTTTCTTACACTTAGTTAAGAAAAAATAATTGTACATAAAATGGAACGAAATACCTGTGTAACGTATCGGTTACTACAAATCTGTGCAAGCAACCAAAGACAAGCAAAAGCAGTTTTGCTGATGTATCAGTGATACTGGCCGTAAAGCTGAATTATACAATTCAGACTGCCTGCCCTTTATTGGTAGCTAAACATTCATTCAGTCAGTCCCTGGGTTGCTTTTTCCCCTTTCGTTTACCCGATATGCAGTCTAATTTCAGCCTATTATGTAATTTACTAAAATTACTTATCCAACGAAGAGAAAAAAAAATATTCTAGAAACCATTAAGTTCATTTTTCGTTGGTCAATTTTTTTTTTTTCTTGCCTCTCTTCTCACTTAATGTTTTCATTTTGAAAGATGAAAATTTAATGAGCACATAACGATATTTTTATCCTTAAAAAAAAAAAAAATTAATATATTCATTCGAGAAAAAAAGTTATTACTTTACTCAAAAAAAAAGAAAAAAAGAGGATTAAATAGAAATGCATAATATCCAATAAAAACTGTAACATTCTATCACACCTTAGATTTTTTTCATCCAGATTTTCATCAGTTTTTTGGCTACTCTCATCTTCTTTTACCCCGGTGCTCCCATCTCCTCTTTCCATCATCTTTTTTTTCCTTTTCAATTTTATGTTTTTTCCCTGTTCTTTCGCATTCTTCACTGTTTTTTTCTTCCTCTATTTTCTCGTTTCTGATTTCTGCTTTCTTTTCTTTTTTTTTTTTTTTTTGATGCCTTTCACTTCTTCCATTAACTTTTCTGCTTTTTATTTTTTTGCTCATTCGCAATTAAACATTTCCCACTTTTATCTTTTCCATTTCACTCCACTTTACCATCACCATCAGCATCACCATCACCAACGCAATCACCGTCCTCATCATCATCATCATCACCACCACTAACCATATGCACACAGACAC